TAGTGTTTACCTCTGTATCTTATGAAGATCAATTCCCTGATATATTGTACATGTAATAGGGGTATACAGTGAGGTGTCAGGAGTTGCACCAAAAAAGGGGTGGAATTCATTCACAGTTATAAATGTCACAGGACATAAATGAAATTAGGGATCAGAATTTATCAGATACATTAATATAGACACCGGTGAGAGGTGCTGGAAATGTGTAGGGCTTATAAAATCTTCGAGGAAATATTTTGGAATCCATACCAGCAAGTGCTGTATATGCTAAATGGCCAGCTAGGCACCCCCATGTAACTCCTTCTGGGTTTATCTATCCCCACTTTAATCATGATATTGCTTCTACCGCCCACTATTCCTCTGCTTAACTCCTTATTGACTCCCAGTTAGGGTAATTCTTTACCCCTGGATATAGCGCTGACGGCGACACGCCGAGCAGGATTCCTCGAGAAGATTTGTCTTTGCACTTGGTAATAAAACTTGATAAATCCTTGACAGTCCGTAGAAAAGGGCATAGCACTAGTCAATGACATTTGAAATTAAGTAGGAGACGTGGTTGTTATATCACTGAGGCATGATCAGAATGCATACTATATTGAATTCACTTTGCCTTCATGTATGTACCGAGACTACATGCACTGAATGATATGGATATGCAATTTAAGGTGCATTGTTGTTGTGTCACTTGCAATTTGGATATTTCATTTTTGGTCATGGTTTTTCAACTGTAGCATGTTTTGACATTTCTGTCCGAGTTATGAAATGAAAGAATGACCTAAAAACCCAGGACAACAAAATCAATAAGGATTGGAAGTGAGCTTTGTCGTTATTTTTATAATACGGATTAGTAATCTGTTTGTTAACCTGATGTAGTACTGTACCATTATACACGAAGGTTCAAGTTTGGAGCGTGATGTTCTGATAAATACAATGATATTTATGTCTGTTTGATTGATGGTCGTTAATTCAATTAATTACTTACATGATCATAATGCTTATTTGAGATGATGAATGTGATGTGATATCATAATTATACCATATACACATTAAAATGACAATAGAGCACATAATCATAATAACAATAAGATAAGGCAATGCCTTTTGTGTATTATTTTTTGAATGAGAACGCAATCATTGCGTACTTAAAGAAAACCCAAAAAGCCAAGCTTACTTCATCGACATATAGGAAGTAGCATCTGCTACTGATGAAGAAAAAAAGCTAGATAAAAGGTTTTCTCCGGCAAAGACCAACCGCCGTTGATGAATTTGACTGGAGTTGCTTTTCACCCTCCCTCATGGGCATGAATATTTGATGGAGCCAGCTACATTAAATGGGGGCCCCGAAAATGATATTTATTGTGATGGAAAACGAGAGAGGATAGTCGTTTCGAGATGTGAGAGATTGAATGTTGAGTGACAAAGAAATTGGCGTCAGTTTTGATCTCATCGTGTTGATTGCGCGATATTACTTTATAAATGAATTAAGTAAAGGCTAATTGCATTAACTCGATCATAATTCAAAAGAACCTTAAACATTACTATACCTGTGGAATAATTGGCTTGACCTAGAATTCCAAAAGATGAGTTCCTAAGGATCCACCTTTGCCTTTCAAATTCAGAAAGAAAGCTAGTGACAAATTGGTAGTTGAAAATTACCTATCATCTGCCCCGAGGAGGTTCGTGTTTTGAATTTTGAGCATTTTCATGCGACGTCGTCGTATAAACTTGGTCTCTCAACGCAGCAGTATACTTTTTTTCTCACATTCTACCCACTTTCTTTGTTTGGTAATTACCGCAGCTTCCCCCTCGGTAAAGAAATGGTCTTTAACTCCTACTTAACACCTTTTATTGTTCTCGAATCTGGCATTGTTAAAGACCTGTAGGCGGGAAGCCTTTAATAAACAGTCAACAAGTTTCTTCATTTTGCTTCCAAAGCCGAGAGGAATTCGTACCATGAAATCGGATTGGTTCTGATCCCATTCTTGTCTGGATATCTGGTCATGGTGATTTGGATATTCTGACCGAGACGCCTGTCAGTTTCCCAGGTTTCTTTGCATCTCTATTTCAGGTTTGGTGTTAAAATAAAAATATCCGATCTGTAAATAATACAATAATTCTCAGATCACCGACCATAGCATATTATATGCTTGGTATACTTTCTACTTCATCACGCAGAAAAGTAATACACTATGAGATCACAGAGAATCAAGGATGATTAGTGCCGCTATTTATCATAAGGTATATTGAATATTCAAATATCCCCCTCTCTCTCTCCCTCCCTTTCCTTTCCAATCTCTTATTTGCCCCATCCCTCTCTCTATTTCATTTTCTCTATGATTGTATATCTCTCACTCTTGCTCTCCACCATATGGAGATTAAACTCATTAGCTCTCATATCAGAAGTATAGCTGAAGAATGTTTGCCATGGTTTAATGATTATTTACATAACAGGTTTATTTCCACTTATTTTGGTTCAACTCTTTCATCTCATTTACCCATTTCTTTTGGTGTACCGCAGGGTTCCATTTTGGGGCCTTTGCTTTTCATTATTTTCGTTAACGATTTAACTCAATATACACATTATTGTTCCATTCAACTTTACGCTGACGATACTGTTCTTTATTTTTCAGATTTTAATGTGGAAAGTGTTCAAAATAAACTAAATCATGACTTGTCATATATTTATAAATGGATGTGCAATAATAAGTTAACACTGAATTTTGATAAGACTGTATCCTTACTCATAGGCTCTAGACATATGTTAAGTAAATGTAATAAATTAAATGTATATATAAATAATATTGCAATACAACAGACTGACAGTGTAAAATATCTCGGGTTTATTATCGACAGCAAACTTAAGTGGGATGTCCATATAGATAAATTATGTAAGAGGGTTGGAAACCTAGTAAAATATTTGGCTAGACTACGTTATTTTATTAATGAGACGAATTTGAACTTGATATATAAAGCAATTATTTTACCCCTTTTTGACTATGCAGACATTTTAATCGATTCATGTGATAAAAAATATATTAAGAAACTGCAAACTCTCCAAAATCGCGCGGGCAGAATAATAATGAAAGTTAATCCATATGAACACATTTCTAACGCACAAATTCATTCACTTTTAAAATGGTCATCTCTCGAATCCAGGCGTAAGAAAAATCTTAATGTATTTGTCTATAAATCAGTCCATAATATGTTATCTCCCAGTATGAATGAAATGTTTCAACCCCCTTCTCATATTTATTCCCTCCGCAATTCCGGTAACTTTGTTCTCCCTAAACCTAGAACTGAATATTGTCGCAGAACTACCCAATACAGAAGCTCAATTCAATATAATACTCTTCCTCCTACCACTAAATTACTTCAAACTGTTCAAACATTCAAAAAGTATTTAAACAATAGTATTCCAGACTTCTTGTAGCTGTATCTTTTTTTTTTTTTTTTTTTTTTTTTTTTTTTTTTTTTTTAAATAAATAAATAATTTACTTGTCTAGCTTTCTCTCTTGTATAAATATCGTAAATATTTCTCTCATGTTTCTTGTTTTACTCGAATTTGTAATTATTATTGTAAGTTCTTATTTTGCTGTAAGTTTTCCTTACTTTTGTAATAACTATTTTCATGTTTTCTATTTCTATAGGGACCCCTCTGTAAACCAGCATTGTTATGCTAACAACGCTGAGTAGGGCCATCCCTCCGTCTTTCTTTTTTTATAAGTGTGTCTTTATGATTGTAAATATATATATATAATTATGTTGATGTATTTTTTTTAAATGACGGAAAATAAATACAATACAATACAATACAAGTCTCTCTCTCTCTCCCTTTCTCTCTGTCTCTATCCATGGACCTACTACACGCTCTATCACTCCCCTTTTCTCTTTCTTTTTCTCTCACTCTTTCTCTCCACCCTCTTGCTCTTTCTCTTTCTCTTTCTCACTCTCTCTCTCTCTGTCTCTCTCTGTCTCTCTCTATCCCCCTCCCTTTCTCTCTGTCTCTATCCATGGACCTACTACATGCTCTATCACTCACCTTCTTTCTTTCTTTATCTCTTTCTTTCTCTAGGCTACCCCGCTCTGCTTTATCTCTCCCCCAGTCCTCCTTTAATCTCAACAATTTTTTGTTTGTTTTTGTTTTTAAATTAATTTCAGCTTCTAACACTGATTGTTGAATTCAACATAATGGTTTTATTAATCAAGTTTATAACATTTCTTGACGGCCACTTTCAAATATCTGATGTATGAACTTTGACGCAACCTCACTTGACCCCTGTAACAAAGTAAACACGTTGCTTGTTTCAAACAAACTATGGAAATTACAGAAGTCAATAAAACGTCATATATCATTAACTTCCATATCTTATTGACTAAATCTGACCGAAAGAACAACAGACATGTATGTAAACAAATGGCATTCTTTGTACTCGAGATGAAGGCTATTTGTTTGAAAGGGTCAAGTATCTCCTTATCTTGTTTGAAACTGATTACTTTATTAGTGGACATGCATTCCGTGGTTGCTAAGTAAAGGATTGTGGAAAGAATGGAATCAAATACTGACCAAGTCTCGATCTCGGGACAACCCGCCTATGATGACTCAACTCTTTAAAAACCTCTAATCGGTTAATCGGATCGAAAACTAAACATCTTGTTTGTATTCGGTCATCATTTTAAGAGATGTCTTCCTGAAAACTGTTGTTGATTTACTTCAAGCAAAACATTGATAAATGAGTCATAATGGACAGATATCCTTATTTTGGTGGTGCTTCTGTTGTTCCGTTTCACGCTGCTTAACAGAATTGAACCATTAATTTTGTAGGTGAATCGGGAGCGCTAGATGTTAATTGATAGGTATGTATACTCTGTATGATTAGATTTGAGAGACTGCAGAACTTCTCCAGATAGTCAATTGTTTTAACACAGCAGCAAGGGAATACTCGAAAGTGAAACCTGGGAATAAAGCAGTTAACTTGTAAACCTTTCTTTTTGTCTTTCAGATGTCAACCTCTGACAGCGTAAGAACAACTGGAGGAGGAATAAAGGGTCGATATTATGAACTTTGGAACAACGTATCACATCATACTGTCTTCCGTCGTCTGCTTGTATGCAGTTTTAAGCATTGCTAAGTGTGCTCCTGCATGAGAAAGTCGTCTGCTAACTTCACACTTCAACATGACGCCACTACGGATCCTCGCGCCTCTTTTGATCGAAACGTTCTTTCTTTGGATGTCCGTCGTCTCAGCGAGGGACATATTCTACGACATTGACGAGGGGGTCGGGCCCGGAACCGTCATCGGGAACGTAGCTGACGACCTCGCGATAACTATAGATGCTAATACCGAGTTCTCCATGTTAGGCGTGCCCAACGAGACAGCATATGTCTCGCTAGACTCGCAAACTGGTATGTCGTTATTTCATTGTGTCATTATGTCAAACAGTAATGTTGTTGTTTATTTGTTTTTCATATGATTTACTCTTTTTCTTGTTTATCACATTCAATTATCTATCACTTTTATTGTTCGAATCTCCTTTTTATTCTTGTGTCTGCAAATCTTTGTTAGGTTCTTAAATGTGTATTTGTAAATCTGCCACATGGCCATCACTGGCTACTTATTGACTGTTACCATTCATGTACTTAATATCAAAGAACGAAAGAAAACTATTATGAAACATTTATTTATAGGTTCCAACAAAGTATCCCTGTTTATTCATTACTATGTAAATTGTATATTTATTACAATCTTGGGAAGTTGAGATGAAAGGGCACGCTACCCATTATTCAAAGGAACATAATTTAGGCTTTTAATTTCTAACCTAAAACTACATCATTTTGATATCCATTTACAGGAGAGCTTACAACAGTCCTAGACCTGGATCGTGAGGAACTTTGTCCCGGCTCATCAGCTCTCTGTGAGATCGAAGTCAATGCCATCGAATTGGGAACCAGGGAGGTGATAACTGTCAAAGTGACCATCAACGACATCAATGACCACGCACCGGAATTTCGCGATGACCTCACCAACATGTCAATCCCAGAATCCGTCGTTCCCGGGACGAGGTTCCCATTGTCTACGGCCAGCGACGAAGACATCGGTGAGAATGCCATTCAGGGATACCGCCTGTCTGATGAATACGCTGAAACATTTGGGCTTGTCCAGAACGAGTTCCCTGGAGGTCTGATCATCATCCAGTTGGAAGTCATAGGGAGTCTTGATCGGGAGAACAAAGACAACTACGTGATGACCCTCTATGCTGATGACGGTGGCGATCCTGTCCTGTCAGGGGTCACTACACTAAACGTGACCGTGCTCGATTCAGATGACCATTCACCTGTTTTTGATAGGACCTCCTACCAGGTCTCTGTCGCTGAGAACATTGGTGTTGGACAGCATATCATCCAGGTTCGTGCTTCAGACCCGGACACCGGTACGAACGGCCAAATTATCTATGACTTTGGCGGTAGCGTATCGGCCAAGATCATTGAGCTGTTTGAGATTGACTCGGAATCAGGTTGGCTATCGGTCAAGAGTGATCTCGATTTCGAGGATGAAAGTTCCCATCAGGTATCCATCCGTGCAACAAATAACGTTCCAAATCCACTTCCGGATTTCACGACCGTGACTGTCAACCTCATTGATGTCAATGACAACAAGCCTCGCTTGACCATATCAGCTCTCGGAGATGGCGGAAGATTCAAACACATTGCAGAAAACTCCCCTGAAGATGTAGACGTTGCGTATGTTCGTGTCACTGATATGGATACCGGAGTCAATGGCCAAGCTATATTGACATTAGAAGATGACTTTGGACACTTTTACTTAGAATCATTCAGAGAAGGCCAGTATTTCCTCAAGACAGCAGGCGTATTGGATCGCGAAGACATTGATTTTTACAACATCACCATTCTCGCTGAAGATCGAGGATCCCCTGTGCTCTCGTCACGGAGACGGTTTGCAGTGTTCGTTGATGACGAGAACGACAATTCTCCCATATTCTCGTCGTCCGTTTATCACGCTACGATTAGTGAAAACAACGAGCCGGGTCACCGCGTGGCTACCGTACAGGCTATCGACAAAGACGAGTTAGAGAATGGCGAAGTTGTATACAGCCTCCTAGATGATAAAGATGGTTCCTTTGGGATCCATCCATTCAATGGAGTCCTCACTGCTAATGTAAGTCTTGATAGAGAAGACGGGGAGTCCATTGACCTCATGATCAGGGCCTGTGACCGTGGACAACCACAGGGATGTTCAGATGTACCTTTGACAGTTAGGGTTCTGGATATGAACGACAACGGCCCCACGTTTGGCGGGGACTTAATCGAGATGAGAATAGATGAAAATAAACCAATTGGTACTATCGTCGGTCGAGCCATAGCTACAGATGCTGATGAAGGAGATAATGGTCGACTGAGGTACAGTATCTTGACTGATGCTGTGTTCAGGATTGATGAAGATAGCGGAAGGATCTACTCAACAGCTGAACTTGATCGGGAGATTCAAGAGCTTTATCACTTTACAGTACGCGCAGTCGACGACGGATTGTCCCCCAAAACGGCTACTGCCACAGTGGTCGTGACTGTGAATGATGGGAACGACCATAGTCCAGAATTCACTGTGCCATCGGCAAACAATGACATTCGATTCATTCCAGTCTCTGCGGATCCCGGTCTTCACATTATGACGGTTGAGAGTGAAGATGAAGACAAAGATGAAAATGCTGCCGTATCGTATTCAATTAGTCATGGGAACGCTTACGGTGCATTCGGTATTCAAGCCAACGGACAGGTCGTGACAGCCCAAGATCTTGAGCCAAAGTGGGAAGGCGTGCATGACATTACTATACGCGCTACCGATGGTGGCAACCCTTCTGCTTCGTCCACAGCCGTTCTTCGCGTCGTGATTTCTAACGAAGGTTTCAAGAGATCCCTTCCACCTGCAAACTTTACCGCTTTGTTTAACCTCACGATTGACTATTACCTAAACTTAGGAAACAATGCAGCCAGTAGTCGCGGCATACTAAACGACTGGCCAATGATCGTCATCATATCGCTAGCTGGTTGCGCCGTCATCCTCGTCATTGTCTTTCTCCTGGTCGCTGCACGATGCCGAACAAAGAACCGTGAACAAGGCAAGTACATCGTACCCTCAGGAGAAGAACTCTTCGCGACACGACAAGCAGCCAAACCCGCTGACAACAGCGGCAAGACATCAGACACAGATTCAGGACTCACATCGACGGCATCGAGCTCATCCAACATACCGTCGAAGAACATACGAAAGTGGCGGGCTCAGCAGGATAGAGATAGGGACTCGATGGGGTCGTCGAACCCCGGATCGACGACGAACCTTGGCACGATGCCGCCAGGGATCACGGGAGTAGCTAACGTGGACTTGAGGCTGGGTAACAGGCAGATGACCACGTTTGGTAGTAACTCTGATCTTCATTCAGAAAGCATTGCATCAATCACATCAGCCAGAAGGACACCAGACCCCGACGCAGAGGTAATTATCAATCCAATATTTATTTCTTAATGATTGAAATAAACCATTGATAAAAATGTGATACACACAGTATTTCCCCTCCTTCCCAGTTCCATCCAGTTTCAACCAGTTCCAACTATACAGACTCTTTCAAAAAATTTGGAAAGCACTTATTCCATCTTCTGCTTGATAACTGCTTGAAATATAACTCATGGGTTTTTGTTGTTACTTCGTTATGCTCAATCTCCATACATACTGCTTTAAAAAAAAATAGTAAATTGCTAGAAACACAATGGCGGCAATGGGTGATGACAAAGAGAGTCCCTTTTTTTTTTTACACACAATTTTATATTTTACTTTGTTTTGATCAAGCTTTCTATAACATAGAAATAAATATGATAAGCATGGTTGATGTGTTTATGTTAGGTTGACATAATAGCATTGCTACAAGTGTATTAATCAAAGAAATTGAACATCCCTGGCAATAGACAGCCTGTATCGCTTTCGACGAGTAAATATTTTGAGGTTAATATCCAGAAAAAGATAAGTGACCCCTAAAGGGCTACTCGGCTCCAATCCCATTTTAAGTGGATTGTCAAGTTAAGTACATTTCGCTTAATATAATTAACCCCTCGGCAAATACAACCCAATCATTGATTTACGAGATCCCTCAACATTGTGCCTGAATGAATATGAGTTTTTATATTTAAAAGTTCCGCAAGGCAAAAGGAGGAAAATATAGCACAAATCTTAAATCTTCAATTCCATAATTGAGTCATATAGTTTGACATAAGTTGCCGCTCCCTTCAATACCATTCATAAAACGTTATCATATATATTCTATTCATCATTGCAAAGAGAAGCAAGGAGATGTCCCAAGCAATAACGTATTCTTTAAACATTAAATACATTTTAAAAGTTTTTAGTATAATTGTTCTTTAAATATTGATAAATTGGAATCTAAGGAAAGTCACTATTAAGTCGATTTTAAGATTCAAATGTCGCGTGTCAGGCACACGCGCGTTAAATGGTAACCATGCTAAACCCCAGAACAAAATAATAGAAATCCTACCAATCCGCTTCTTCTTCTGAAATAGGCATGAACAAAACAACATCTCTTTGTTTTGCTTTATGTCACAAGGCAGTCTTAATTCCCTTTTACAATCTGTTAAAACTTGGCAGGGATAAAGAGAACGGGACAACAAACAACTTTTAACGAAGGGGACGAGGAAAATATTGATTTCAAACGAAAAGACCTTGTTGGACCAATATATGCAAATTACTCTAAGCGGCGGTAGTTCTGTTGGGGTGAAACTGTGCATCGAGATGCGAGTTGTAGAATAGTGATGGTGCGCTGTTAGATGCAGGCGATCGATTGTGATCAATACTAGAGAAGAGATTACGTAATCACATATCGATATGGCACACGTTTTGTAATAGTGTTTTTAAGCTATGCAAGCAGATGTACAGAGAGGATTGGAAGGCCTTCCTACAAAGAGCAATTATTAAAGCGAAATGTAGGATCTCGTAAATTTAAAATATACATTTTCGATCTGTTCCCACTCGTTAGGTTATCCAAAGATCATGTTTTTTTTAATATATTCATAAACAGACATGAAAAGTAATATGATTTCAAAACACTTTTGTGTTATGAATATTTAATTCTTTTCCTCTGTAAAATAATATATGTTCATGGATAACAACAGATGAAATCTGATATGCATTTAATTAGGGCTTACGTCGATGTAACCAAGTAAATGTTACTTTTTTGGAGACTGTAATGGGAGGGGTTTCATCTTCCATCTAAATGGCCCAAAGCTTTCAACTTTGTATATTTCCAAGAATAATTTCTCCCGCTACTGACATCCTTTAATATAGTCCGGATACATTGAGGGGTTCGTGGTAGGTCCATGGTTATAGGGGGTGTCATTGTGAGGTGTTCTAATCAATATATGACTCGCGTGGAGATGGTGCATGACTATGTGACGTAGAATTCTATGGGTGTGTGGAAACAAAGATATACAAAGAAAAAGCAATGGCGCCATTTTAGCATGCGTCATTTTTCGATGTAGTATTCGATTTTACAGCAGTGGAATCGGGATTTCTTAGATTCTGATGATTCAATATGACTTTAAATTTAAAGCCAGAAATGTTATACGTCCCTTCTTCGCCCACATTTAGATGCTAATGTAAAATAGTCACCTTCAAAATGATAATCAAAATCATTATGCAGCCCAATAAAACATTTTTAATTTAAATATAGTATAAAACTTTTAAAAATTATGTAGTTGATCTTAAATTGCCTATTTTCTTGACAATTAAGGTCATTTCTGTCCACAGACTTTTAGAATAACAGCCGTTTGAGCTTAAGTGAGTTTTACCGTGGTGAAATTATAAACGAATGATAATTTGAACTAACAAACAAAAATCATGACTCTTGCCGGGTTTTTTAACAAACATCGATCATGTCCATGATGACGGTAATGGTCAAATTCAGCCGTTGGTCAAGATACAGCCTAATCCTATGTTGCCTTTGGATCAATTATTCGAAAACCACAACGTCTGTTGGTCTGGCAGTGGTTTATTATCTACTATTGTTTTATGCGATCAATAATAAAGCATTTTCACAGTAAATTATTATGCGCCATACTTTGACTGTAGTGGTCTGCCTTGAAAGCTGATTAGTTTCTCGGATTTGATTTCCCGCCAATCTCGAAGTGAAAGGGCAATAAAACAGGTTGAATTTTCGATTGTCTGCAAGATCACCACTTTAAATATAGAATTTGAACTGTGGCTTGAAAACAATTGCAACCATACAACCATATATTATGTTTGAAATCATCCTGTTGTATGCACACAGGGTGATTCGCACTCACCATTGAAAGTATTAATTATTTTCTCTGCATCGTGCTGATTAGGCTATGTATAAATCTGCATAAATTAGGGTCTTTTCTTTAACAAAAGTGATTTAACAGCATACTGGAACATGAATGAATTACGTTGCATCCTTTTACATCATTGAACAATATAGAGCGTTGTTCATAGTAGAATTCTAATAGAGCTGCCGCCATTCGAATTTGTCCCTGTGTAGTATAAAGTTCCAGGACAACGCCATCGTTACACCTCCACTATTTTATTTTGAGCAAATATCTCATTCACGACACGTTATAGGCCGCCGGTAATCAAATTAGCAACTACTATCCTCACTAAAAGATGAAATTAGTATGTCATATAAAAATCACTTTTATATTTCGCTAACAAGAGAGATAGCAGGATACACTATGGGAAATAATCTTTGAGAATTAAGTCAGTGCACTTTAGCTTTATGGTCTGATATTGAAAATAATAATGTCGTGCCTGGGGATTAACGTCTACTTTGAAGCAGGACTTACACGATGGGGATTTTTTTCAACCTTGTCAGAAAATTAGCCTAAATGAACAAGAGCAAATTGCCGTTTATCACGACCCAAGGTTTGTTCGTTCTGTAATTTGTGTCCATTTAGGCAAAAGCGCGCCAAACAACGCATGTTTGGCGCGCTTTTGATAGTAAGAAGAATATTGTAGTGAGTGGCCCACGCGTGTCAATTGGAAGGGCCTTGAACATCTAATAAACAACACTTTTGGACGATTGTAATAAAAGGTCGAAAATGTGATTTATTGATTAATATCCGTTTTGTGTCGCGTGTAGTTTTGCTTCGTTAGGTAAGGCAGTGGAGAGGCAATGTACCCTATAATTAAATCATATATTCCGCATTGTGATAATATTCTTTGGCGTGTAGCTAATTATACCTCTTGTTCGTTTTATATCTGAAATGATTGTCGACCTATTAATTTTGGTCACTGTGTGAATTTCTGAATGAACGTCCAAACTATCTATTTCTCTGTGCATTGTAACTAACGAAACATAAGGAGATGAAGAAAAAAGAGGTGTATGTTTGGAAGGTGTTTCAAATTATTTAACATAAATTTATAGTCATACGACATTGTCATAATTTTACAAAGTTTTTTTTCAAATCTTAATGAATTTTAGAGGTACCGTGATACCAGTTATCTGTATCCTCAGAAAAAAAACCAACACCAAAATAGCCCGACTGAACAAGTATACATGTTTTATATTTAGCATGCTTTAAATATTTGGTAGATCTTGTCTCGTCACCTTACATCTCATTCAGAACATTGTAGTCCTTATTTTTATGACGTTATCTACACTTCTACACTGTTTTCGAGTTCATGAGATTTATAACAGGTAATTGATAATCAAATCCACACCTGTCTATGTAACACCTGAATCAATCATCCCCAAATTACGAATTTTTTAACCTTAAAATAAGTCAATTTGCCATTCTCAATCGGTCTAAATCAGTTGATATTAAAGGAAAGTATCATCAAAAGCGTGTAATCGAGACTCCGCGTTGCTTAAGAACCTCACGCTCTCTGTTTGTGCATTCATTTATCACACAATCGCTACAGTTAACATGCAAACAAAACAAAATTGTCTTTCTATTGTCCTGCGTCAATTGAACTTCTTTAAAACCCCAACACGGCGGGCTAAACACACTGAGAGTTCCGTCAGTTACAGTCAAACATATACAGGGAGACAATCCGAACCTCAAACAGTTTCTTCTTAGTTAGAGAAGGAAGATGGCGAGATAAAGAGAGGAATGGATGATGAGGACGGGGAAAGTTTGGAGAAGAGAATTGGTCTTGTACAAACACTCCAGCTAAAACGTGCAATTAATACGAATAGACCCCGCACCTTTTAATGGTTAAATTGTTCCAAAAGAATTTCGAGATTGATGTTTACTGTCTACTCTGCCGATACTCGAGTGACGAGTGGGAAGCAATTGAAATGTTAAAAGAGAAAACTCGAACCATTCGGCAATCAGTAAATACAACAGTAACCTTTTTATCTTCATCGCGTTCGTTCTGGTCAAAACGATGGTTTAACAATATGTTATAATAACTGATAACCTTTAGAACGATAATGAATATGATATTTTAAAAACATATTTAATGGTCAATCCAAAATAACCAAAGGAGAGAATCTTTGCAGAAAAATGTATATCATTGTTGAGCTATTTTAGGTGTGCGTTCAAAAACAAGGATTAAGGATTAGGCTCACGTTAGTTTTTTTCCAATACTTTGTTCCTTCTTCATTCAAATGAATTAACTGTAAAACCCTCTTTTACTTGGAAATGGTCAAACAGATATATATTTATTTTTGTATTAACAAAATCAGTTCAATGTAATAAAACATTTCTTTTGTCCGTCAATCATCCATAAGAATTCTCAAAATCGAAGAAAAGTGAATACACAACATTGCAAGCCCTTCACATTTATAGATATTCTTCATTGATCAGCAATTGAGATGCGGATTTTGTAATCTTTGCTCGAGTCTGCGGAGTGATAGGTATCTCAGGGTTTTGTCATGTTCACTCCATACAACCCTCGGGTAGTTTTGACCATTTCCAACCGAATATCTCGGCATTAATGCAAATTAGGCCCCAGATACTCATCAGGCATGCTCTCACCAGTAAGGTTTGATACCCGACAAAGCCATTCACTACAATTTCCATGTCCATCTTACTTTCTTTTCCCGTCATTCAGTAGGCATGTACAGACCTCTCAACTTTGAATGGTTCGCTGTTAAAAGCATAATGCATCACCCTCCGGTACGGTGGCCCCAAAACGTCAGAGATTATAGCGTACTTACATCATTTTCTCTGCAAAAGAAAGGTGGTTCAGAAACTTGCTGAAAACCACGTACGACTTACAAATGAATTCTAAACACGGGGTTGAAAAATATGAAATTCTATGAATCACTGAACAAAAAAAGGATTTCATCTACCTGTTTGTTCAGTCTGCATGACTTGTACACATGTTATGATACAAATGAAAAGTGACAGACATTCATGAAGTGGAGAGTTAAGTTTCAAATTCACTGTTTGGTAAGATAAATGAGTTTCAGTTGTGGATATTATGTAGGTTCATGTTCCATAAGTTGAAATAGCCATTGTTGTTTCGATAAAATGATATGGATTGTGATTGAGGAGATGGAGAGATGGAGAAGGAAGAAAATGGTTAGAAAGGCAGAGTAGTGGTGTAGGTGAGTCTAACACACGACAAACACCCCTTACTTATAAACTATTATAGTTTGTTCTGTATAGCATATACTCACAAAATATATATACTCTAAAATGTTTCTGTAGATTGTGGTATACTCATTATGATTATTGCACAATTTGGAGTATAATGCACAAGCAATGTTATACTAAAAACTATTATACTCTCAAACTATTACAATGATTGCAAGTTTTCTCTTCATATTCAGTCATGTCTTTATTGCTTTTGAACTTCGTTGCAGTATACAAAGTTACATTTTCATTATAGATAGGCCCTTTACGACGATTATTACTCTGTATATTAAACCATTTCTTATTCATATCTAAATGATTTATACAACTGAAGTCTATAGTGTAAAGGAATCGATGTTTGCATTAAGATCAACAACCAATACCGCCCTTCTTAAAAACACCTGTCATACCTTAACAAAGCAGACAGTTACTCCATTCATCTGTAAAGCAGATGGCCCAAATATTTAAAAACATACAGTCCAATTTGTTACAAAGTAGAACACAATTTGAATTAAAGATGGACGCGACTGTCGATGCATAAATCGATACAAACAAATAGCCTTTCCTGTCCTTGTATTCAGGCATACTTGTGGTACAAGATTCGAACAATACACAGGTTGCATCGAGAACAAGCGTCGGATTCTTAAAGAAAACTTAAGTCATAAAGAGAACTTTTGATGTAAGGCAGAAGTGGAAGAAGTAACGAAACAAAAGATGATCCGATGGAGCATGTGTGATAGCGATTTTATCGTCTTTGTTCCATCCTCCACGTAAGATTCTTCCAGAAGTTGGAGATGTACAAAAGGAAATCGATTGATTTCCGACCCAAGCTCGTGTCACCTTTAACCTGGCATCTCAACTATGTAAATTACAGGCGCGTGGTCAAATCGTGGTTTAACTTTCAATTCGAGACTAACAAAAGAAATAGTTATTACAAGTATTTCATTATGAATTGGGTATGTGTCAAAAAGTCATGGGAAACCTATATACGTAATTAATATTGTGTCTTTTGTCTTTGCTAATAAACGCATGTAAGGATCCTCGCCTTTGGCACTTTACATCTTACACTTACCATGCTTACTGCCCCCCCCCCCCCCACATTCGCAGACAACATGCGTGATATCGGACATTCATAAAATCCTGATATAATGTGCCAACATATTTTTGCAAAAAGAACACATTCTCATTTACCACATTCCCATTAGTACGCCTGTAAGTAAGCAACCAGCGGACAGACAGTTTTAAGTCCTCTTCGAGGGACTTGGTAATGAGGATTAATGCATCGACTTGATTTCGAATCTAGGACCTTTCGGTTACGAGACCACTGCTCTACCACTGAGCCATCGCGCCTCCCTTTGAACATGAGTAAAAGATAATTATCATTATACATGTATGTCCATTGTGAATATTGTGTGTTTTTTCTTCTTCGTTCCACCATTTTACAGCTTTAATCGTCTCTGATTATTTTCATCTGATTTCATTGGTAGGTCCAGCGTCTCCTTCGTAAGCTGCGTCGAGACAGCGAGGATCGTAACTCGGAAGGTGGAAGCGGGAGTAGCTACGACAGTGGACATGGTGGAGAGCCAGAGATTGAGCGGGAAAGTGGTTATAGAACCAATCTATCTTCAGCTGATGGTAGCTCAAGGCGATCAGCTTCTTACCCGCGTATCGCAGCACTGGCAGCACAAAATATCAACAATACCCAAAGTAAGAACTTGATGCATAAGCCTCTTAAGATTCGAAAGGTTGCATGTTTTAATGTTGCAGGAGATATCAACGAAAGCCAAAGTAAGGAATTGAAATCTCTCGTACAATTCACATTTAAGTAAGTGATTTGATGTTGATACACAGCATAGACCTATCAATATTATAGCCATAAATTAGCAATGGAAAAAACTACACGCTTAGGTCTTGTAAAATTCGCATTTTTTAGTGGGACTCGATCTGTTTTTTGCTTGCATTGGCAAAGAGTTCGTAAAACAAAATGAATACTACAGTAATCCTATGGCCTGAAAACCTGTATGCCTCTCGACTTGTCGGCTGTACTAACAGACAATGTGACTTGCAATTGCAGGGTGCTTTATGTTTATGATTTATCCAACCATAAAGTGTAAACCATAAATATGATCTGTCATATTTCTTAATGTACTTTTCTTTCTCAAGAATTGTCATTATGGTTTGCTTAAAAATCTTAGATTAATTTAGTGTTGTTAATGAAGCTTCTTATTAATCTTTTTTTTCCCCCTTCCTTGTGTCTTCTTGTTGTAGCTCCGTCCGGAGGCCACCGTCATAGCTACATGGCCAGCCCTCACTGTACACCTGAATGTTTGACCCTAGGTCACTCAGACGAGTGCTGGATGCCCAACCCAGCATCTATCAGCAAGTCAAAGACTGTTCATTTCTCCAAGCACGACGATAACCGGTCATCAGGCGGTAGCTACCGCAGCTATCACTCCAACGCGGACCGTCCTCCAGCAACAAGCCCCAAACCACCCAACCCTGCCATCGCCTTCGGTAACGTCTCTAAGGTTACCCCGAAGCCCAAACCTATCCCCAACGGTTCGACCACCGCTGGACTGGGGCAGCAACCGCCTGCAACGAGAGACCTCAACGGTTACTATGGTAATAACCCTGCAGTCATTGTAGAAGACGAACGAAATGGGAACGCAATGCCATTAACTCCGATCAGAGAACATCCCTTCGAAAGAAGAAGTTCGCAAGATGCTCCTAGCCTTGTCGTTACAAAGCATTCTCCAGACAAATACAAAAATAACAACGACGTCGATAGAAACGGCGACGTCAGATATCGTAACGACCTCAACAGAGGACATATAAACGGTGTAAACCCATTGCATAGAAACAGTATGAACGGTACCACACCAAACGGTAGCACCCCGAACGGCGGCCAACTGAATGGCATACAGAATAGTAGGAGTAATAACAGTAGGAACTCTAGTGGTGACAGTCATATTTCGAGCGAGGATAGCGCAGACACGTACTCGGGTTCGTCGGCCGCGAGCAGCGAAATGAAACCAGTTCGTTACTCGCCTGACGAGGTCGAGGCTGTCCTCGAGAAATGCGGAGGAGATCGATCAGCGGGAGTATCGGCAGACGGCGATAGGATGTACACGGATTGGGTATAACACGCGGTCTGGGTATGAAGCCCAACGTCGTCTTCACTGACTCTTTATGAGAACATCATGTGATCATGATCACGTAACGATACTTTCCCTCCATTTTATGTGACGTTCCCCATGATTATGTGCAAATATTACTTATTTTCATGCCAACGAAATTGTAAATATCTATTATTTATGAAGTAAATACTGTAAAGAATAAAGATGTTGTGAATGTATGATGTTTTGATGATGAAATAGATTTTTATATTTATGCAAGGGGTTTTGACCGCATTCGTGCCTTTGCTCTGCGTAGAAATGTTCTTTATTTTAGGTTTACAAACAAAAGTAGAATCCGCAGTTCCTAGGATTTAGTCTATCGAACAAAACTTTGACTGAAATGCGATGTTATATGCGAAAGATAAAACAAAATGAACACATCCCTGTGCTCTAATGTTTGTTGATGAGCAAGTTTCAAAAACACTAGAAATAATCAGAGTTGTCTCTTTCTTGTGACATGATGCATGGAACTAACTTTGAAGGTACCATCACTTTTCCTAACCTAAGACATGGGGCCACAACAAATTTACCAGTCATGCCATGGGGACAAAATCAGTAAATTAAACACGACCATTAGCTTTCATTCTTCTACTTGTATTTGTAAATTTGACATGCAAGTGTCGCATTTTTTCTTACTATGCTTTGACAAAAAACTGCTGGACTATAACTCTATAAAGGATCAGTTTGACTAGTAGAAGCGTATTTATTGGCTAAGTGTTCTATTCGTAGTTGTGACTTAGTCGCACCGCCCAGTGTGTTATATGTAGAGAATACTATTGTAGTCAGATATTAATTGTAACCGTGCTGTAAATATACATTGAAAAATCCCATTGTATTCTTAGATAATCAAATTATCTCTCCAATTGGACACTTTGAAGCAATGAGTGATTTTTATAAATCGTGTTTACAGCAATAACGTTGAGAACAGTCTATGGGCTGAAATGTAATATTTCACGCTGTCTAATCAATTCTTCATCTTTTTCTTTCAATATTTAACTGTAAGATGAGAAATGAGAAATATAGCCATTCGAGGTTTAATCAATAATAATGTTCCTGTTCTTAATTGTTTCTGTTCTTAATTGTTTGAAATTTTATTATCATTTTCGCATCTAAATTCCAAGTGAACATGGCGTTGATAACTATGTATATTTCGAAGACAAAATAGTACAAAACCATTTAGTGTATTGAAAGTATAAATATGACTGGGTCTGTTGGCTTTCATCACGACAACATGAGGATTAACACAATAGAAATGTGAATCTATCGTTTAATTCGTATACCCGATGAAACGGTGCCGTGTTCACTTGAAATTATATCAAAATGTAAAAGTTATATGTCGTATCAACATGAGTGTATTGGTAGCTTTGTTTCAGATTTACCCTTTCACTGCCACCATCAACATGTTTCTTGCGACCATTTGATAATCAATGTTATGATGGCAATGAAAATGCTGCTTTTTATATATTTTCTTCTGCGTAGTTTGACAATCATTGCACTTTTTCTAGTGTTCTTTTTAGAATTGTTTCCTTGGTGACAGGGAAGCCAATTCAAAATGAATTGCACCTGACAATCTTAAACGTGCGAATGATTCGATGATATAAACAAATACAACGAATCAAATTATGAATGACGATGAGTTTGCACACCCAAACAATCAATATCAAATATAATTTTGTTTTAAAACAAGAATCTTAATATTAAGCGAAGTCCGCCATTTTGATCAAAAATGCTAGAAGCTTCCACAAAGCCACAAAGCCACAATTCGAACAAGAAACACGGTATCAAATTTGTCTGATTGAGTTCAAGGGCATTGTTCAGAATTGAATTGAACTGTGATTGTACGTCAGTATGTCTGCCTTATCGTCGTAGGAATGTTACAGCAATTAGTTTATGTTCGATTTCATTCCCTTCAAAATGTTAGCATAGCTCCAACAGAAAAATCTAATAAATTCTCGGTTTTACATTGGCTTTTCTCCGTCGTAGATGGGGTAAATCAATTACAGCCATTGCAGCTAGTCTCTCAATAAATTATGCTTTGGATATAGTCCCATAAGTACTTTTGAAGGAGTATAATTATCTCACTCCAATTGTACATATCAAAAATAGCGTTCGAATGAAATCTCACACCAGGAAATATCATTCGCTAATTTGTGCATTCTCACCCGTTCGTCTGGTCGTTTTGTTTTGTTTTTCACTTATCTGAATTGTTCGCCTATGTTATCTTTTTTTAGCTTAGTATTTATGGATGTATAAGCATTTTTGTTACTTTTCATTTTTGTCAATATTCTTATCTAACATATTTATATCTACTCTATGAACGACTGCCAATACTGTCGCTTATTCTTTATCTAGCATAATCGGTATTATGAGTTATGTTTTCCTTTTATGAAACTCGGTATGCCCTTTATACAATATCTGCTAGGCTACTACATATTTCGCGTTATTATTGCTTATTCTCATTTCTGTTTCAAAATAATGTACACATGCAAGAAAGAAAAAATTTGGACGCGGACCCATCATTATGTAGCATCTTTGGCTGCAAATAAAAAGAAAAAATAGTTAATAAGCTTACATAGAGTCAGTACGATAGACGCGGGGTTTGTGAGTTTGTTTCGCCCAACCTAAGTGCCTTGTTGTACTGGAGATCATTTTTTATTTCGAACATAAAATATTCATACCAGTATTACTTAACTTATCTATCGGATGGAACATGGACTGAATCGTAGAGTAATATATTTCTAATTGTGCTTGCCGTAGATTTATTGTGATCATGTGCCGAATTGAGATAGTTGTGTAGTTATTATCGTTGTTATGTTGAAATAGTTGTATATACAATTAAAAAAAGTATAAGTTCAAAACAGCTACGCCTGATCACGTGAATCAACATGACATTAAAGACATTGGAATTATTTTCCTCTAAAGTAGAAACTTAGAAAAAAATACCCTTGTAGTGCAAATACTGTCAGCAAAATGTTATAGGATAGAGTATGCCATGGTGTAATGTTTGAATGATTTTTCAAAGATTTTGTATCCATCGTTGTTTTTTAATGTACCTCTCATGAGGAAATGTTTTGTTCAAGGGAGATTAATGAACTTTCGTGGCGTGATTTTAGACGTTTCCAATGTAAATGCAGCTATTTAATTGCTTATTTTGTCATAATGAATATTTGTATATTGTGTACATTGTAATAAAATGATACAGTGATGAATGTTAATCAAGTTGATGTGCGGGGGTCTCTTTTATTGTTGCCCTGTTGCTCCACCACCCCCTTCTCCCCCCCTCCCTCCCACCCCTCTCACTCTCTCCACCTCCTTCCACCCCTCCCCCCTTCGATCGCCTTTACCCCTCTCTCTCTCTTTCTCTCTCTCTCTCTCTCTCTTTCTCTCTCTCTCTCACTCTCTCACTCTCTCTCTCTCCCTCTATCTATCTCCCTCTCTCTCTTTATGCTCCTCTTATACCACTCATCTCTCTTAAAAATAAAAATGAGTTCTGATGGTAAATATAGAAAATAAATTCTCTCAGAATCCAACGTATACACTGAATGTTCAAGATTACAAATAAATGACATGTGCTGAACAAGTTTGGTCGAAATGTATAGTGGCTGAGTAATGAGCATAGAAAGATAAGAAAATCCGGGTAAGTAGGCCCGACACCATGTCACTGTGCTGTGCAAATGAGAGATGTGGTTTTTATCGAAGATGATGCCCAGTACGTTTTTGTGCGTTTGTTTTTATTTTACTGGTTCAAAAAACCAATCTACTGCAGGATAAACAATCCAGAATAAATCAGAGCAACTTTCTCTCAAAATACGATTCCCATACCAGAGCTCAAGGTTAGCTTTAATCTCTATCTCTACTTTGACATGTATACGTTTTATATAAGAAAATTGATAAGCAGAAACCTACTCTTTAAAGCTGTCATCAACATAATTTCATTATTTTACAATCATATTATACATGATTTAGCAGTATATTCTAAAATATTGATATATATTTTAAATCATAAGATCTAACGTAAAATATGCTAATGGAGCTTGCACAGAGACGAACCAAAACTCAAACGATAGAATAAAAGAGTAAAACCACGTGAAAATAGCTTAAAAGCTTTTGTACTACATTTATTTTTATCATTACAAACACCGACAAACAAAGTATGAATTGGGGAAACTATTGTGTGTTATAACACCCTGATTCGTTTCTTCATTTGTATTTAGTGCAAGTGCAAAATTTGCTTGTTATCATTGTTTTCTTCATTATTTAGTCACCATTTTAATTAAAACATATTTCTCTTCAAATTGACTCTTTCTATAAGTTAAATACAGTTAAGAACGATACTATGCTAAAAGTACAGATTTAGCATATCACTAGATTAAGTAATAAAAACGAGAATACATTTTTTTTTAAATCCTACAAAATAATGTAGAAGACATTTCTAAAGGCTGAGCAAGTATATGACATTATCAAAAAATAACTATACATGAAAGACATTTTTTCACTTGCATTAATTTGAAAGACAGTATAGGCCTACTTTATAGGTAGAGTGGCAGTTGGTAGCAAAGAAGAGAGAGAAAGAGAGAGAGAGAGAGAGAGAGAGAGACGGGAGAGGTACTTTAATGCATTCCCCATTTCGATTATCTTTCATCATAAGCAGATTAGAACAGTTCTTAAATTATTTTGCTCACCTGCTTCGCTCGCACGCAAATGAATTACCATACCATACACCCAACCAGGAGGAAGGCTACAGACAGAAAACTGTAAAACGTTTAAGATGACTTTTGATACTGTTCGATTATTTTAGGTGTGTATACCAGTCAGCGTCTCTAAATGGTAACTTTCCACTTTGTGCAAACCCTTTGAAGACGCCACCCCAAGTTTTTTTTGGTTGATGCCCTTCCTTGAAAGATTGACCAAGTGATTTTCAACTAGGAATATAAACCAAATACGGTGCTGTATAATTATTATCGACTATGAAAAGGTCAGTAAGTAATTGTATTTTGTTCTCTTATTTCGTGACTCTAAACTTTGGGGATATAAATCGATTTGAAAATATAACTCGCAGAAAAAAATGAAAAAAATAAAAAATCAGGTGACGTCAAATATTTTATCGTAACAGCGCTCCGTGACTAAGCGGAGTGCGCCATCTTCTGCTAACTTTTGTAAAAGCGAGAATTCTTTTGGCATATTGTGAAGGCCGAAGGAATGATTTCCTTTCAACGGCCCCGTATCTGGCTCGTAGTAATGGTATCGCAAGGTGCGTCCCCGGGAATCCTCCGGGAACGGGAAAAATCCATACATGGTGACCTCATCACAGTGTAGTAGAGCTGCAGTCATCACAGATAGACCCGTCGAAGGCACTGGCATGTTCCATACTCTACCAACACAAGTTTAAAGAAGAAAAAAACATATTGAGAAGTCATCAATGATTTGATTTGACAACAAGGTATTGAAGTCCCGGCCCCCCCCCCCCCCCCCTCCACTCCGGGGTAGGAATGACCGCATACGTGTTACCAAAATGTCCGGTAAAGGGGTATTTTTCGTGCGACAAAGTCCGGTCCGAGAATTGTAAAAAAAGGGGGTGTATTTGACTTTTCACCGGAGATTTCTTTAAAAAGGGGTGTTTTTTCTTTTTCTCTCTCATCTCTTTGGACTCCTGAGAAATTATTCCGAATTAAGGGGGGGTACATTGAGCATTTTTCCGAATTTAGGGGAGTCTCCAAGGCAGGAAAAGCCCGTGAAAAGCCCGCGAAAGGGGGTTTCGGAAATGTTGGCAGTCCTCAGATAGGGGGTGCTTTCAAAAACAGGGAACAAGCATACGCGTACCCTAAATAACACTGAGTGGGGGGGGGGCGGGATTGAAGTTGCCCTTCAGAGTTGATTTTTTTTTCGAAAATATTTGCGATTGTGTCACATGTATGATCTTTTTTAAGACTTTTTAAAATCTTTTTTAAGAGAGCACACTGAAGAGCACGAGTGGCTAGTTAAGTATATAATTCATATTGGTTACATAATTTGTATTTTTTAATGGAACGGGAACATAAATACTACTAATTATACTATACTAGATACTTTTAAAACATGCACAGGACATGCAAAATGAGCACTCTTATTCCGGTTGCACACGAGGCTTCGAATCGATCGGGTTAAAATCAAACCCTACACGGAAATTAGACTACACGTCAGAAATTCGGCGCTATGTTTGAAAAATTCTAGTTTTATGTACGCTATCACTCTGACCATGAACAGGTTCATGCTCTGACACGATGCGTCAAAGAGCAACATAGTGACGTCATGCACGTGTACATTATGCTAAATTGAGAACTGTTTCTTACTTCGATGCGAGGTACATTAAGGATTCGGGGGTGTACGCCCAGGCAGGTTGGAGTTGTAGAGTATCTCTGAAGGAAACAGCTATTTGACTCAATTTCTCTGGAAAACCTAAAGGATACCAGACGATACTGCTATCAGTGACAGTACCATTCAATCTATTAATGTACATCCATCCTTGCACCGTTGTATTCAAGTCTTTCGAGAGTGTCTCCAGCGCGAGAAGCTCCATCCGATTTAAGGTGATGAGGTCGACTTTGGATCCGACATCTCTGGAGAACTCACCGTCCACCGGGGCAAGGTTCAATCGGAAAACGAAGTCGTGGTCGTCGATCTCACGCCCACAGAGGCTCGATAGAAGGATGCCTGAGTTGCCTACCACAGCGCATCGGTGACCCACCGGTGAGGGCAGCACTTCTGTTTGGTTGTGCTCCATGATCGTGGATAAGTTGGTGCCGAACTTATAATTTTCGGGGTCGATGTCACGACGAAATATCCTAAATGTTGTACTCGTATTCAAGTATTTCAATATCTTGCGCCTGCATGGTGGAAAACAATATTAAAAATCAACTACATTCCGTACTGGAATTTTGTATATAAATTGGCTTAACATGAGCCCATTAACCCCCCCCCCCTCCCTCCCCCAAAAAATTGGAACGGTTCTGATTTGCCTGTCAACCCCACCCTTTACAATACAAACATGATCTTACGTGAATATCCTACTTATTCAAATTTAATTCAATGTCAGTATAGAAAATTATGGTTCATTTGAGCATTCACTAAAAATTAAAAATAAGTTTTGGGTAGGTTGGTTTATAGACATTTTGAAGAAAACTATCACTAAACTATATATTTAAAAAAAGAAACACATCTTAACATCGCAGGAGTTTTTTTTAATCACTCCCCCACCCCCACCCCCCCCCCCCTCGTCGAAAAAAATTGTGGGTATGGAAATATAAAAAGTTTACTTTTAGTATGTATACTGTTGCCCACAAAGCTGGAATTAAAAATTTCCTTTTTTATGATATCCCTAATGTGATTTATGCTTGATAGATAAAGTTCATATTTTTATAAATAAAGTTCTGAGATAATATAAGCTTTATCTATTAATAATAAATCACATTCTCACAATCATTTTCATAAAAAGAGGAAAGAACGAGTTGATATCATCCCAACTTTTCGGGCCACAGTGTATTACAGCGCATTTTAGGTAAGACAAACTTCACAATCATTTAGAAACGAAGAACCCTTTTGCCTCACTTTTATTGCACAAGAGCACACAATTCTGACAATAAATAAATATCGGTCAATTGTTATCACCTCATAAAATGTGCACTTCCAGCTTTTGATGGTCATGGTAAGTGTGCTGCATAATCGTAACCCTCGCTATCAGTTATATATCCTATCAAATTAAGTCATCTTTGAAAAATTATATCATACACGGTATATATTTTTCTGACTTGTTTTCAATTGGAAGATCGAGCCTGTGATCTTTATCACATTGTGTGCTGGTAAGCCTGAATCCGATGACCGGGGTAATAATATATATATATGTAAAGCGCTTTGAGAGGGCCTTCGGTCCTGAAAAGCGCTATATAAGAACTAGCTATTATTATTATTATTATCTACTGGGTGCAAGCCAAAAATTTCTTTACAACAAAAATATAAGCATTTACACAACTGTTTTTCTCACTAAATTAGCAACCAGTGTCAGGTGCGTATATGGACTTGAAACTCATTAACTCAAATGTATTTATAAATCAAATTTTAACATGGTCTTATATTACGTGCAACTTGGCAATAGTAAACCTGCTAATTTCAATCCATACAAGTGCCATGTTCGGCAATGCATCAGGAAATAGGGGAATAATATGTCGGAAAGTTTAATGTATGTTGTATAATCATTCAATGAACATAGTCCACGAGTTCATGGTCCGTGTATATGCACGACTATTGATACACTAACCCTCCAAAACACCAACATTGATTATCAATTATAATTTATAGTTAAATTGCTAATGGTGAATATCAAGATTTTAGTCATTTTAGATTAGAATGAGCAATTTAACTATAAATTATATACCTGTTGTTTTCCCCAGAAAGTGTAGAAATAGAAGTAGAGTCAGAGAGTGATGACCTCTAAGATATTTTATTGTAAGTTTCATCTAAAAGATTCCAAAGTCGCAAACTATTAAGTTAGCTTCATCCCGACTGAGTCGTATGTGCACAATACAATTGTAAAATTAAATTGTTTGAACTTTTTATAAAAGACGAACAAATTATTTACCCGTTTTGTTTGATATAATAATTGTACTTTTATCATGACATAAACCAACAACTAAAAAGTGTTGATAATATCTTTTGTATGATAAGTATGCCACTATGGAACCTCATATGACATCTTCAAAAAAATGATAATTTGCCGACATGATGATTATGCTATTTAATACGCCTGTCCACGATATCATTTCTTTTTAAACCGTTGAACAATTTGAAATGTTTGGTGGCTTATCCGTACAAAAAGAGGTTCTGAGCTTGATGATACATGTGGCTCGTACATACCTAGCATCTTCTATGGCTTGAGTGGATAACGGTTTCATTAGCTGTACCCGACGTCGATGATGAGGGGCTTGCTGGTCAACCGTTACATTCAAACCTTCCGGGGTACCGCCGGCGTCGGCCAGTCGAACTACAAGGCGAATATAACAATGTTAATGATGATGATTGTTATGTACATCAAAATAAAAAGATTTGTTGAGATGATAATGATATAATAGTAAAACTACGAAGACAACAGGCATGGTGAGAGATCAAAAACTATATTGATGGCCCCATTGAGATTATTTTGTTAAAGTTTCCGTGTCAAGTACAGGACTTAAAGAGAAGGTTGAGTTCTGGGGAGAGGTAAACAATAATTTGTGAGCGTTATCATTCTTATCATGCAGGTATGGAAGAACATCAGAGAAAAAATGTTCCCTGAAAAGCATGGCTCTTAAACATGACAAGTAACAGCTTAGAAACAAGGCCAGATTTGTATGCTACATAAGTCTCATATACATCTTTCAGTGTACATTGCTTGTTAATTTACCAAGAATGAGTCGAATTTCTTATCATTTTGATGACTACAGAACCTTGCATTACACAACAATACTTATATGCTACATAATAATCAACTTGTTCTGATCGATTCCACACCGCTTCTTTTACAATGAAATCGCATGACCAGAACTCAACTATATATTTAAACCAACCTTTCATTATTGTTTTGACAATATTGGAGACAATAGATTTCAAATACAATAGACAGTTTTTCGTAATTTAATCAAATCGAATTGTTGCTAGGTAGGACAAACATTATGGTTCTACCCAGGCGCGTACGCAGGGGGGGGGATGAGGTGTTAACCCCCCCCCCCCCCTCTCAATTTTTCGTTAGTGAAAAAAGAAAAAAAGACCATATTGCTCATTCACCCGTGGTAAAAATATTGTAAGTAGGGTATCATTGGACAGAAAATAAATTACTCTTCATCACGAAATCAATATCAAAGTCATATTGGTTATGAATTTTTAATTAGGAGCTACCAAAGTTGAGTACACTTTGTTTAAATACGCACTATATGTCAGCATCAAAACGAATAGACGTAATGAAGTAGTAGAGTTGTAATATTAAATTGGAACGGTATTATCACCATTAATTGTTTTAATATGCTTAAATAATTGATTTGCTGTGTTAAATTTGATCTGAATCGCTTTGAAATAATTCAGAATATCTAGAATGTCATTCAAACATTAATTCCTTATTTTCTATCAACTGCGTTCATATGAAAGACAATATTATACGCCTTGTAGGATGTGTTATCAACTATTTTGAGGCGACTAAAAGACGTCACTTAAGTTATAAACCATTCCTGTCTTTTAGTAATGACTTTATGATGGAATACACTAAAGGTAAAGACCAGTATTGGAAACGCCCCAATTTCAAAAAATAAAATGGAAGCTCTCATTACCAATCATGAAAGAATATGTTTTGACTAATACATGATAATAAAAAATTTGCCGGAAAACCGCCTACTAATTCATATATCTGGTAAATTTGTTTCTCTCATGGTTTGTGAGAGATATAGGGTAGTCCCATATCTTTCTGTGTATAGTGCTTGTAACTTTACGAAGACTGGGCCAAATTTCTTTTCATTTTGATGATTCCAGAACCTTGCAGATGCTAGATGCTAGATGATCAACCTTTTCTGATCGATTCCACAATGTTTCTTTCACAATGCAATCGCATGACCATAACTGGTCTTAACAGTACGTAACACTTAAAGCACTTACCATCATCGAACGTGTGCTCATGGGAATATTCTGATCTGACAGAACGAACTATGCCTTGGAATTTGATAGTATTCAGATACCACAACAAAAAGGCGAAGCTGATTTCGGCTACGACGATACACAAACTTCCCCCTTTCCTACGTCTCCGTAGATTACTTATGAAAACCATTTTGAAGTGAACATGGGCGTCGTCGATCTGCTAAACGATCTCCTTGTTGATCACAGTCAGTATACCTTGATCGCAATCCGCCTAAAAATCGTCGAGAACAAATTAAAATAATGCCACCTGTTTATGAATAGTTTATAACATCTGCCTATAAATGCCCGGCGCAGGCTGTAAAAACCGACTGGTCTGTGATTGGTTTGCGACCGAATGATTATGAGATATGACGTCATCAAAGCTCATGTCAGCTTGTGGGTTCGGTTCGTTACGGTGTTCAGAATAGTTATTTGTTTGTTTCATTTGGGATCAGTCTTTATTTTATTATTTCATTCGCAATATTTTATTTGTTTAATTTAAAAAAAGAAGAAGTATATTTGAACCGGTTTACCGCGTGAGTGAGTGAGGTGCAGGGGCGGCGATTTCTTTTCATGACCAGGGGGGGGGGGACGAAATGCGAAATACTACTCCTACTACATGTACTAGGAAGAAGGAGGGGAAGAGGAAGAATCTTATTGTTTATTTTCTGTATTATCGAGGCATACAAATGCACAGGGAGGTAAAAGAGGGAAAAGTAAGGCGACGAAGAGGGAGAGAGAGGGAGAGGGAACGAGAGGGGATAGCCTATGGCCCGGGTTCAAATTCAGTTCTCTTTAATTTATTTGACCAAGTACTGATGATCATAATTTTATCTACCATGTGATTGCCATGTGTACGCCACATCGAATAGCACTAGCTCACATTTTGTTATTGTTGTCAAGAACTTATTGACATACAGCAAGTAGATTTTCATCATGTGTTTGATTTTGTACTGGAAAAAAGATCAAACACATCATCATAATCTACAGAGTGCAACCAAAAATTTCTTAACAACAATTGAAATTTCTTTCAGGAAGGCTAACACCAAAAGCTGTTTTTGATTTAAAGAGCATCGTAGAGACGATGAACAAATAAGAATAATAATACATTCACTTCTATTTTCCCCACCAAATAATCCGAACAAAAGAATCAACCGAGGGTAATCAACTGTTAAACGAATTTATCATGAGTCCTTGAAAAATAAATTAATACTGCTTGTCAAATATTATTGAAGAACAGCAAAGGCGAACGTGATTGTCGCTACAATTCAGAAATCATTGCTTGCATTGCTTTTCTCTCAAAGTTACCGTGAGATATCAAGCTACATAGAACTATGATCGACACAAAAGATATTGTCTTGAAAACAGTCAGAAACATTAGAACTTGAATGAATAAAAAATAATGCAAATGAATAAGACTAGAATGAATAGGACACAAGTTAATTTCTACCATTTAAATCATCCAGTACCAAATACCTGAGCAAAATTCGAACCAGATGCATTTAATGGTAAACTTAAAGACAATGATTCATGACAATTGTCAATTGTCATGAGTTTATCGTCTAGACGTATTGCAAAAGATAATCAGAATAATAATGATCAGAATGATACCTCTACTATAAGGCCTAATTCTACATGTACTATACTACACTACTGCCATTGTAGATTATGCTGATAATACAGATGATAATAATGATATGATAACAATTATAATAATACTATATACTTATACTAATCGTCATCAAAATCATCATGTTCATATTCATCATAATAATAACAACAATAACGATTATAATAATTACAATAATAACTTATCTTAACGATAATAATCATGATAAGGATAATAATCACAATAACAAACATAATAATTACAAAAATAACATTAGTAACACCACCAACCATAATAATCATTGTTGTCATTATTATTGTGATACTGCTTCTAATACTACTCCTACTACATGTACTAGGAAGAAGGAGGGGAAGAGGAAGAATCTTATTGTTTATTTTCTGTATTATCGAGGCATACAAATGCACAGAGAGGTAAAAGAGGGAAAAGTAAGGCGACGAAGAGGGAGAGAGAGGGAGAGGGAACGAGAGGGGATAGCCTATGGCCCGGGTTCAAATTCAGTTCTCTTTAATTTATTTGACCCAGTACTGATGATTATAATTTTATCTACCATGTGATTGCCATGTGTACGCCACACCGAATAGCACTAGCTCACATTTTGTTATTGTTGTCAAGAACTTATTGGCATGCAGCAAGTAGATTTTCATCATGTGTTTGATTTTGTAATGGAAAAAAGATCAAATACATCATCATAATCTACAGAGTGCAACCAAAAATTTCTTAACAACAATTGAAATTTCTTTAAAGGAAGGCTAACACTAAAAGCTGTTTTTGATTCAAAGAGCATCGTAGAGACGATGAACAAATAAGAATAATAATACATTCACTTCTATTTTCCCCACCAAATAATCCGAACAAAAGAATCAACCGAGGGTAATCAACTGTTAAACGAATTTATCATGAGTCCTTGAAAAATAAATTAATACTGCTTGTCAAATATTATTGAAGAACAGCAAAGGCGAACGCGATTGTCGCTACGATTCAGAAATCATTGCTTGCATTGCTTTTCTCTCAAAATTACCGTGAGATATCAAGCTACATAGAACTATGATCGACACAAAAGATATTGTCTTGAAAACAGTCAGAAACATTAGAACTTGAATGAATAAAACATAATGCAAATGAATAAGACTAGAATGAATAGGACACAAGTTAATTTCTACCATTTAAATCATCCAGTACCAAATACCTGAGCAAAATTCGAACCAGATGCATTTAATGGTAAACTTAAAGACAATGATTCATGGCAATTGTAAATTGTCGTGAGTTTATCGTCTATCTAATTGCAAAAGATAATCAGGATAATAAGGATCAGAATGATACCTCTACTACTAGGCCTACTTCTACATGACTATACTATACTACTGCCATTGTAGAATATGCTGATAATACAGATAATGATATGATTAACAATTATAACTAGACTTTAATTCGTCACTTTGACGAATTAGGTGATACGTATGCTATTTTTGTATCATGAAAGTGTGCCGATCATGATCTAATGATAATATTCATAAATACGATAATAAAGATATTGATGATGATGATTTATTTGTTTTAAATGACGATGACAATGATTAAAAGTGGTATAGCGCCCCCTTCAGGTATTCGATAGACAATTGTTATATGATTAATTTACTAAACAAGCTCAAATTTTCGCCTGATTGCAGAGCCTACCATCATTGAACTGATATTTCGACGCACTACATACGCAACATAATGAACAAGTCTAGACTGGAATGTAGTATCATTCACCTCCCATAGGCATAAGACGCATATTAAGCAAACAATCTAATGACGTCATCAAAATGAATAAATATTGGTAATAATCTTGTGAAGAATTGTCTCAGCTACAACGTATCAAAATTTAGAAGAAAATTGATCAATATTTGCAGAGATACAATCATTTTCTGTAAATATGTTGACGTCATAATATGCAAATTCGTATTTTGTCTTCCAAGGCCATTATGATGACGTTAAAATGTACTTAATGGCCAAATGAGAAATGAAATCATATCTCCGACTCATATAATCAAAATAAAAAAACAATCGGGGGGTCTAGGTGCATCCCAAAGAGCTGTGATGGATTTTGTGTAATCATGTTTTTGCCTGTATATGCTATGTATTACATGTACTCGTGCGCACGGCAATTTATCTTAAACGGACGCGCATTCCGTTATGAAATATCATGAAAGAACAACAAATTGCATTTCTTTGTTGTGTAATGGCGTAACACGCAAAAACGCGCGTGCGTAATCTTCGAAATTCTTTAATGGCCTAGAACATACTCTGTTTTGATTAAAAAGTGAATTTGAGCATTTTAAAATTCAGACGCGCGCGGATTTTGATGAGATGTTATGTCGAACCTTGACCTGAAGTTCATGTGTTTTAAATATGGTTCAGTTTTGATGACTCGTTATGAAGATATGATTAAAAGTTGATTTACACAAAATAGCGCCTGGATGACGTCACGATGATTTTGAGTTACTGAAAAGTGTCACAATTCTAAGTTATGCTAATATTAATCATCATGGCAAGTTTCATGATAATGGCTTTATTCATTCATGAGATATCCTGCGAACAAATTAATGGCAGAATAATGAATGGGAATAATAATAACTTGAATTTGTTACTTTGACAATTTAGGTTATATGTATGCTAATGTTTTAAATAATGAAGAATGTATTTTCACGATTTTATATTATCTTCTAAAATGCTCTTCCTATTAAAGTTAAAAACCAGTATTAGAAACGCCCCAATTTCAAAAAATGAAATGGAAGCTCTTATTACCAATCATGTGAAAGAATATGTTTTGACTAATACATGATGTTAACAATTTTGCCGGGAAACCGCCTACTAATTGATATGTTTTGTAAATTAGTTTATCTACATGGTCTGTGAGAGATAAACGCACGTGTCGCGCACGTGTGCGTATAGTCCCATATACATCTTTCTGTGTACAGTGCTTGTAACTTTACGAAGACTGGGCCAAATTTCGTATCATTTTGATGATTCCAAAACCTTGCAGTACACACCAATACTTATATGCTAGATGATCAACCTTTTCTGATCGATTCCACAACGTTTCTTTCACAATGCAATCGCATGACCATAACTGGTCTTTACCTTTAAAGGTAATACAAAGTTTTGGGAAATTTTGAAAATTGGGTGGATAGTGAACCTTTACAATTTTGATATATTTGCATGCCCCTGTGGATGTATTATAAGCCCAAAAAAAATTAGCCCCTAAAAAACTTCTGTTTTCGAGAAAAATTGAATATAAATATTTACCGGTGCTCCCGGTAAATTTTGATAAATTTCAAATAGCGCCTATGGCCATACAATCGTAGCTGCGACCATGAAGATCTCAGAATATGTAGTTGGGGTATATAATTTCCAAACGGGAATAGCTAATCGGTCGATTTTAGTCAAGATACATTGTTCCATAGCTAAATTAATATCTTGACCTTGAGAGGGCGCTATACAACATAAAGAGTTTATTATTTATAATTTCATAACTTTAGACTCGATTTCAACCGCGACAACGATCAATGTAATTGTAGGAACGCATATGCTTCCAATATGTTAATTTGAACCAAATTCATGACCCCATACCAAAACTTTGTAATACCTTTAAGGTCTACCCATATGAAAAATTTCAACTGTGTAGTA